TTGGGAGCTGTTTCAATACATAGGTAGATAGTCCCTATGTATTGAAACAGCTCCCAAGGATTCATACAGTACTGAAACAGAAAGAAAGCACACAAATGACAGCAGGAAAAAATGGAAATGACTTGACAGGAAGGACGGACTATAAATAATACAGCACAGGAAGAATGGAAAGAGGGAAACTGAGCTAGTGCTTTTAGTTTGTGATGATTTTCAAAACAGATTTAACTTGATTCTTATTTCTTGTCAGTTAAAAGGAAATGTGAACAGTGTAGTAGTGCAGCAGTATTGATACACTCAGACGTAAACTTCATACCAGTGTTCTTCGTGGCAACTTGGTTGTTTATTATTGCTTGTGTGACCAAATTGTACAAAATTGTGAACAGACGTTTGCACAGACTGAAGCCACAGCCGTACACACGAAGCACACGTGTTGTTTCCTCTGAGTTTATTTGACCCCTTGTCTCCATATCACAGTTGTAATTATCATTCTAACTTGAGCTTGACCTTGGCACATTCCTGCTTGTTTGTATTGCTTGCTTTATTTCTTGAGGTGTTTTCAGTACAGTGCCAGTGTTGATCAAAGTGACCTATACCTTTTTCTTGTCTTTTTAATTTATTTGTATGCTTGCACTCTCCAAGAGAGTGGATAGAGTTTAGCTTTTGTCTGTGCCTGTGGCAAGAGACAAATCAAATGAGTGTCATTTGTAAAATACACATGTTGTTCAAGAGCCTTGGCTTTAGGAGCCAAATGCATCAGACATTTTAACTCATGTCGCCAACTGGAGCTCTCCAAGTTAAGGCATTGTGTTATTGTGAGATAGTAGATTGAGTGTTTTTGTTTTTGTTTCAGGCTGACACAACTAACACAAAGGAGAGCATTATTGTTGAGATATTGGTGATGTATTTGAACAAGTTAACACACATTTCACTGTTCATTTTCTTGTCTTTTCAGTGGTAAGTTGGTGTCTCCCAAATGGAAGAACTTCAAAGGTCTAAAACTACTTTGGAGAGACAAAATCCGCCTCAACAACGCCATATGGAGAGCCTGGTATATGCAGTGTAAGTTTATGCGGTATCCATAGACTGTATTGTTAAGTTTGCAATGACTATAAAGGTCCAGTTTGTAACATTAAGGAGGATCTAGGTGCAGAAGTTGAATATAGTATCTATAGGTACGTTTCTTTAGTGTATAATCACCTGAACATAGAAATCATTGTGTTTTTGTTACCTTAGAATGAGACGTTTTTATCTACAGATGCCTCGGGTTGCCTTTCATGGGACCGGCATGTTGAATCGCCATGTTTCTACAGTAGCCCAGAAAGGACAAACCAAACACTAGTTCTACATTAGGGGAGTCTGGTTTTTTTTGCACGATCTGTGGTCACCGTAGTTTCTCCTTCGCACTTGGAGGGGGATGGTGAAGCAAGGGAGTTGCAATTGGCAATTATACTGCTAGATGCCACTGAATCCTACACACTGGACCTTCAGTTTCTTTAATCAAGCTGCAGCAAAGACATCGGGCTCAGGTACACAAATCTGTTGTCAGAAATGGTGGAGAGAGTCCTTCATAAATCATCGTCATCAAATTGATAAATCTACATTTGTGTACATATTACCCACACAGAATCCAGGGTGTCACCAGGCTTTATGTTTCCTCTCAGTTCACACAAACACACGGCAGTACTTGCAACATTATCTGTGTAATCATTAACTATTACTGTATGGAACTGAGTTCTGTTTTTTTCTTTTATTTCAAGATAAATATTGGCACAGTCTTTGCAACTTCCTGTAGTACATTTTGTTTACATGCCATGAACAGTTTTATGACAGTGACTAACAGCAGCTCTCATTCATGTCTCATAACTGTGACTGTTCACCTGAAGCTGTTGGCTATAGTCTGTAAACATGATGTATGGAGATGTCAGTAAAACCTATAAATGGAAAAGCCAGATGTTAGACATAGACATAGGATGTTTCTGTGTAATAATCTAGATTATTTAGCATTGTGTAAAGCATGTTTTGTAAAAATTATTAGTGTTCTTTTTGACGCTTTTTGGGTGTCTTGGATGGTGAGGTGAACTTTATACCTTTTAAGCAATGTGTGCTATAAGGTAATAATTTGTAAATGTAATTCACCAGTATGAAAAAATGCTCTGTGTATTACACCTGAGGGGTATTTTAAGGTTGTTTTTTGTTTTTTTTTACCCCTAGATGTGGAGAGAAGGGAGAATCCTGTTTGTCACTTTGTAACTCCCCTGGATGGAAATATGGACTTGGACATTCATCGCCCTGCTGAGGTTAAGATCATTATGTGTCGTACAAATACAATATAACTGAAATCCTCCCGTGGATCATTTTATGTTCAGTCTCTTAAAAACATGCTTGTTATTTAGTTTTATGTTTCCTTTGTCACTTCCTTTTTTTGTGCTGTGTGTTTGTTGTGGAGTTAATTTTGTACTCCCCCTTTCTTCTGCAGGCTACTGCCACAGAGGGGAAATGCTGGAAAAGAAGAATTGAAATTGTCATAAGAGAATACCACAAGTGGAGAACATACTTTAAGAAAAGGGTATTATACTTTATTATTCAGCTTTTTATAAATATTATTTCAGTTTTTGTCAGGGGGGTACTGGACATTTTGTAGGTGTATCCTGTTTGTTTGATTGGTCATAAAACATTTACATAACGTGGAACTCACTACGTCTTTTTGTAGTTACAGAAGCACAAAGATGAGGACCTCTCGAGCTTGCTTAAGGTATGTAGAACTGCATCATGCTTAAATGCTCAGCTCATCAAAATGCTGTTCAACAGATGTCTGTGTGTGTGTGTGTGTGTGTGTGTATTTTTATATATATAATATATAATATAGATTTATATAATATATTATATATATAATCTATTTTAAAAAGTGCATGAAGTGTGGAGAGAAAGTGTTAGTTTAGTGCCATCACATGTTGGCTGTACTCAACACTGCATGCTTGTGTGTCATTAACTGGCTTGGTGGTTGCATTTTCAATATTCAAAGGGGCCAGAGGAGCAGTTCTCGCTGTTTGGGGAAGTCTCTCCAGACATGCTCCGTGTCTCCTTTTATCAGGATGAAGAGACCGCAGCGCGTCGTGTGCCTCGTAAGCATAATGAAATGCCTGCTCCTATGGAGATGGACCCGCTCTTTGACATGGATGTTCTGATGTCTGAGTTCTCAGACACATTGTTCTCTACGTTGGCCTCGCACCAGCCCATAGCCTGGCCCAATCCAAGGGAGATTGGTGAGAAAATCATAAGCTGTCTATTTTATGAAATCAATCGAGAATTGATTCTAATCCTAATCAGATTTTTATTAGATTGTTTTCTCTACATTTGAGTCTGTTAACGAAGCTCTCTAAATTATGTAACAACTGAATGAGAACGTTGCTTGGGTCTGGATCTCAACAATATGTAATGTATCCGTCAAAATACTGGATGTCTTCCCCCTTGCTCTTCCTACCTCTGCCTTCCACAGCTCATGCAGGGAACGCAGACATGATCCAACCAGGACTCATCCCCTTACAACCCAACCTAGACTTCATGGACTCCTTTGATCCACTACAAGGTAGCGCTAAGGCACAGTAGTGACTGCACACACACTAATTATGCACACTTTAGAGTAATCGTGCGCACATGTTCTAGTAACTCTGCTACAGCAGTTGGCTTAGCCTAACAGAAAAAGTAGTGTGGTTTTTACTAACCTCTAGCTAACATAGAGACTCTTGTTCCAGACTTATTTCACAGCCTCCGTCCGTCCATCTTCCCCTCTGTTTCTCCCACTGCATCATCTGTCACCCCTCTACCCAGCAGCAGCTCTCAGTCACAGGTAAACACCGACCCAAGGCACAGTCCCTAACACACACCACCATGATGAGAGTTTGTGCAAGGGCTGTGTTATTCTTCCTAGATTTGAGAGTTTTCAGTCAAAGGATTTTCACCACATCTTGTATCACATTTCTGTCTTAATATGGTTACACAAAAAACTATGTAACATAATAATATTACTAAACTGTATTGGCATAGCACTATTCATACATGACTTGCGGCTCAAACTGCTTAACATTAAATGTATATTCTCGTGAGAATCAAACTCAAAATTTGGCTGAATGTTTTGCTTGTCTTTCATGCTGTAATCCTTGAAACTCCCCCAGATGTAGTCTAATCAGCCATATTTTGAGTTTCTATTGCATCCATATACGCAACTTTACTGTAGGTCCTTGTCTGACTTTTAGGTACAAAAAGATAACAGTACATTTATCTGAGAGCCATACAAAGTTATATTTAGTATAGTTAAGGGTACATTCATTAACAGGTTTTAAACAAATAAAAGGATCCAGAAAATCTAATATTCAGTTTACTGTGGAGGGACCATGCAGTTGAAACTTATACAGATGGCAGTATCTTCTGTATATGTTGTAAGATTTTTACGTTTTTCTTATTGATTTGTGCACCATAAAGCCTCTGAAAAAAATATAGGTATATATTTTAAGACTTTAAGCATTATAAACTTTGCATCTGCATGAAGTGGTGGAAAACTAGGGGTTTAGTTGGTTGTAGTCATTGCTGTACTGTACTGTAACATTGCCATTACAGTATTCTGACATTGTCGTTGCTCATGGATAAACCATGTAAAAGGTTTGGAATATGTAGTAAGACATAATCTAAACCAGCACAAAAGAGAACATTTCCAGCTAATATGAACCTGTAAAGAACTGTGTCTCTACTATATCATATTGCACTAGAAAAAAGGACTAAGTGTTTGTTCCCTTTCCTTTGTCATCCCTTGCCAGGCCCAGTTAATGTCTCCCATGCAACTCACAACCAATCACATCTCCCCTCCCGGCCCCCTGCCCCTTCCCTCTCCCATGGCCAGTCGAACTGTTGGCGGTGGTGCTGATGCTGCCTTTGTACAAAACTACATGCCTCTTTTTCCTGGGCAAGTGGCGCCCAGTGATCAAGCTGTAGTTTCTGCTGTTTCTCAGCCATTATCCCATGATCCTCTGGCACAGTGCCTCTCAGGTCGGGACATGGCCTCAGTGGCACCCATGGTTCCCTCTCCCTTGGACAACACCTCAGCGCTGTGTGAAACTGCAGCGCCATCTGTGATTACACACACGGCTTCTTCTACTGTGACGCCCAGCGAAGCAGCCCCCACCTTCAGCCATGGCTCAGACTATAGCTCCTTATCCACACAACCTCCTCCATCTCAACTCCAACCCTTGGCCCCATTGCCCGCCACCTCTGTCCAGCACCCTCAGACTTTTGCCCTGCCTCGCCCCTTTCAGCCGTGCAGTGCCAACAAAAACCGTCCTGTGCAAAGGATTGCTCCTGCTAACACCCTCCCCTCTTCCCACCTCATCCTCACAGGTCTGTTGTTTCTGATCTCAAGATTATTTATTCTGCATTTGGAAAAACAATTGTGCATGTAACTTTGTTGATCTGGCAGTGGAGCTGTATCACTTAATTACCACAAGATAGCGCTCAAGTCATAGTGATTAACAAAGATGCTGATGTAGAATTGTATGCATTTCGGAGTCACTGTAGCTGTAGCTTGATAATGTCTTTTGGCAAGCACAGAAACAAACGCCTGCAGGCACATTTCTGAGGGAACTGTATTGGTATTTGGATAGATAGAGAAACATTTTTTTTGTTAATTTTGTTCAACAACATAATATCCACAATTTAAACATAACATCAGGATTTTCAACTTTCAAACCAAAAAGACTGAATGTAACTCTAATTAAAGCTAATATTTGGCTAATTATATTTACAAAAGTTGGTTGTACATTCTGCTTTTAGTTGGGGTTTTTTAGGGTGGGGAAGTGGGATATGCCTTTATTAGGGAGCTGGTAATGTCAGGTAGCTGGTCAGCACCCCCACCCCTGGTCCATGAGGGTGCTCTCTGCTTTTGTTTTAGTAGCTTATCTTAGTAAAATTCAGTTTCTAGATTTTCAGTTGTGCTATTTTCTACTTATAACCTATTGAGCATTGTGTTTACAGTAAAGTTCTGTATTAATGGAAAAGTCACTGAGGAAAAAGAAAAAAAGTATTATTATTTATTGATATTCACGTGTAAATCCACATAAAACTAACACTGCGGTGCCTTACTGTCAATGTTCAACCTTTCAGCTCCTTTCCCAGGTCGTAGTAACGATGTGATTGTTACACCAACACCTCTGAAAGCAGATGTGGTCCCTAATACCGTAGTGGTCATTGCTCGTTCTCATCTTGGAGGGGTATGTTTTCAGCTGTGTGTGTCATCTTCACTATTTTAGTGTCTTCATACACCACTGTGAGTCTTGGGTATTTAGTTGTCATTAGAAAATTACAAAACTGCAACATTTAGATAGTATGTAATTCATAAACAGGAAATTAAACCTTAAAACTCAAGTGATCAGTTACAAATTAAGAAAGATCATATTTCAGTGTTGTGGTTCTCGGTCTTGTACGTCTTTTTAATTTCGGTTTGTATTGCCTATTTGTTCTCTTTTCATGTATCCTGGACTTTTCTACTTTCTTATTCCACGATGTGTCTCAGACGCAGAAGTCTCCGCAGCCGATTGTCCCCAAAGAAAAGTCTTTTAGCCGCAAAAATCAGAAAGTCTCGTCTAGTGTCGGTGAGAGTTCACTCTACACAGAGAGCACATCGTAACTCCAAACCCACCATTTCTTACAAGTTACAAGTTTGTTTGTTTTTTTCCTTTCAGTTCACAGTCAACCGGGATCAGGTCAAGGATCACCGTGTGCGTTTGATCAAGTTCCTAGTCCCCAGTCACTGATTAGCAGCAGCAGTACACCTCTGGTAAAGAATGAACAAAATCAGGTTTGTGTTTCTTTGTGTTTCTTAACATAAATGGTTTGCTGGTGCTCTGTTTTTGTGAGCATATTATTATTTAAATAACATTTAGGGGTTTCACAGGATTGGGCGAATCACAAACTGAACTTCATTCCCAGGCAAATGAAACCCTGTTTGTAACATCAGTAATATTTCTGCTGTTCTGCTATAATATATGACACACTCCTCAGTAAGCCTTTGTGTAATATTTCCACTTCTGTTGTGTGACAGAGCCGAAGGACAACACACATATCTGCTGAGCAAAAGAGACGATCAAACATAAACATTGGCTTTAAAACACTCTGCAACCTGGTTCCCACTTTAAAGTCACAATCAAATGTAAGTCTGTGTAACGGTTTGTTTTCATAAAACATTCATAATAGATCATAATTATTTAATTGGCTTTCTCCCTTCCTCCCATGTTTATTAACTTTGTGCATTAAGATCACAAATGCAGTCACATTGCAGAAGACAGTGGAGCACATTGGGAAGCTCCAGCAAGAGAGGCAGCAGATGCAGGAAGAGGTCAAGAGATTACGAGAGGAGATAGAGGAGCTCAACACCTCCATTAAGTATGTTGAAACGTTTTATCATGGTCTGTATGAATACTGAATACTGGCTGCAGCATGTCCAATAATTCCTGATATAGGATTCCTACTAAATAGTTCCAGTGAAATGGAAATATCTGCCATTGCTAAGTCATATCTAAGGTTGGTCCTATTTACTGGAGTAGTTAACAACCAGGTTTCCATTGCATAACAATATTGTGGGATGGGATTGTTCCAGGGATTAATCAAACCCCCTGGTATCACCAGGGAAACAAAGTTATGACTGCTGAAAAATGTGAGATTTTGATTGCAATGAAACACATGAAAGTCTAAATTAATTATCTTAATATTTTTCTTTTGACAACAGACCATGATATAAATGGGATAATGTCCCTTGAGGTGTCCATTATCAGGAATTAATGGAAGCCACAGAGGCAACCATCCTGCTCTGGCTTTCCGTGATCAATTAATTCCTGATAATGTACCCTTCGTCTGGCATTATACATATCTCTCACCGCTATTATGATATAAAAAAAGTTGCACAGACCCTTAACTGTCAACTGTTTATTTTTCTCCTGTCACTGTTTAACCACAGCTTGTGTCAAGAACAGCTTCCTGTAACAGGGGTTCCCATCAGGCGGAATCGCTTCGACCACATGCAAGAGAGGTTCAATGAATACGTAAAGAGCCGCACTCTTCAGAACTGGAAGTTCTGGATTGTATCCTTCAGTGAAAGAAATTATACTGATGTACGCTGTTGCTGCTTAGTCATAACACACAGTATGGTGTAAGCATTTTGCTTTGATCTGGAGCAATCTTTTGTCTGAGAAGTGCCTTGTTCAGATCAGACTGTTGCATATCCGAATGATCATATCCTGTGTCAAGCACAGCAAAGGCAGACTTAAGAAAAAGTACGTTATACAACTGAATAATTTTTAAAATCTTCCCATTGTTCTTGAAGAAAGCCAAGCTACTTGAGTCACACTGTATTTTACAAGCGGTTTTGTTTTGATTGGTTATTTACCAAATTATTTTGAAAGTACAAATGCTTCCCACTCTGGAAGGTGTTGTCTACACACGGAGCCACTCCTAGAGAACATCCAGCAACCTGTTCACAGTTTTGCATTTGTCTCACTCTGTAGTGTAATTGATCCTTGACCGTCATCCATTGTAGTTCAGCATCATCATCAAGCCTCTCTTTGAGACATTCAATGGGATGGTGTCAACTACAAGCACAGCAGAGCTGTGTCAGACCACGTTGCAATGGTTTGATCGTCACTGCTCCCTTCCAATGCTCAGACCCAGTAAGTAAACAAATATTTCTCCTTAACAGATGGCACAGACACACACACACACACGTACATCACCAGCCCACCTACTCTGTGGGTACAACAGAAAGAAGCAGTAGCTGTGGGTCTTTTGCAGGCCAAAGGGGATTCTCTAGCTGCATTCCTCTGTGTAATTCAGTTACTCTACATATTATCTACTGCCTATCTCTCACTATCTGTTTGTTTTTTTTTCCTGCCTTTTCTTCTGTGACATAAAAGGAAACAGTGAATTACATTTTTCGATAATACTTTACTCCACCTATAATCTCATGGGCAGAAACAGTGACGATCACACTTTCCAGTAGTTTTTCACCTCCCTCTTAGTCAAAATAATGTTGTTCCAGACTCAGTCCAACTTCAGCAATTACACTTTTTGGATCTGATAATTCCACTTGACGTCACAAGATTTCTGTAGTTGAGTCAACTCCGCTTCCGGATGCTTGTCCCGCGCTGCATTAGGAAAGAATGAAGGTTGACACTTTAGCTTTTTAATTGAATTAATTTAATCATCAGACTGTTCTGCAGTCATATCCTCAGTTGTAAGATAAGAGTTTTCCCATTGTCCTGATGAGAGTTTTCCCATTGTCCTGAAATGCAGCTTTGTGAAAAACTCCCAGTAAATGACAAACTGGCCTACAGTGTCCTGGAAAACATTAAACACAAAATGTTTTCTTTAGAATCTGAGCCTTGCCACTCATTACTTATAGTTCAGGGGTTGTATTAAGCAGCCCAATAACTATCAACTAGGAATGTGGTGAATTAAGTTCATACCTACTTTGTGTCCGTCTGTAAGGATATATAGCACGATACTTCAAGATGTTGTGTTTTACAGTCGGATTAGCCGGATTGTGGTTATTAAATTGTGGTTTCTTGTTTTTCAGTGGTGCTGAGTACCCTTCGTCAGCTGAGCACAACCACGTCCATTCTTAGTGATCCATCCCTGCTGCCCGAAGAAGCCATCCAGGCCGTCACACACACAGATATGTAGCCTTAATCTCACAGGAGGTGAGGTCACCTGAACCTTTTAACAGCAATCATCAAAATGACATATCACCTGTTAACCTTAAAGCCAGTCAGCAAGGTCACCACATCTTCCACAGATCCACGACTTCCCTGAAAAATAAATGAAATTATAAATGCACGCTAGGTCTGGCTTACTATGGTCATACATTTGTTCCGCTCTACATTGACTCATGCAGGGAGCCCCACCTTCAACACCTTTCTAACAATTGTGCAAAAATGGCACCTAATACTGCCTTTACCGACTTCAGGTGAAGATCTTTTAAATGCTTTATTGGTAGATGGTACTTGTGGTTTGATTTTTGAACAATACATATTTAAATTTAAATTACTTTTACAATGTAAAAACAGCATTGTGTTAAAAAGGGAAATCTTGAGTGATTGTTCATTTATGTGTTCTCTCTCATGTGTATAAAGTGAAAGGATTTGATGCAGGAGATGAATGTGGGATTTTTTTAGGACTAGCTAGCACTATAGTTTGTGGGATTTTTTTTCTTAAACCTCCCATAAAGGGTTCACACCAGAATGTAGAGGGTTGCCAGAATCATGGTCAAGCAGACCACTCATGGGCTGATCTGTGCTTAATTAGTACTTGAAGATGAGCGTCTTTTTCCATCCCTCATTTACTCAGGTGATTGTTATTTTGCCAGTTAACTATAGTGGTTTCCTGGTGGTTTTCCGTCCGTGCTCGTCTTCCTTCGTGCTGTGCTTGCTCTGCCCATTTCCATCCAGTTCAACTGCAAATTGTACAAGAAAGCGGTCATGTTTGGTACAGTATGTTACACACATGGGTTCCTACTGGGCAGGTCACAGAAAAATGGAGCGACATTACTTACAGCCCTCATAGGGAGTAGAACTGAAATAGCAGTACAGATCATATATATACTTCATTCATATGTACAGTGTTACACGATCCTAGCTGAATACACAGAAGCTGTAGGGGTCTTTTCTTTGTTGGTCACTCAGGGCTGCGCTGGTCAGCGTAATTCATCATGAACAAATGGAGTCAGGATCCTTCTCAGCAGGAAGACATGGTGTCTGTAAAGGTACAGTCTGTCGTGTTATAAGACACAGCACACAGAAACAGACCAAAAAGCCATATCAGAGTAATTTACCTGTCCACTCAGTTCATTAGTTTTGTGTTATTGGTGTTATATTTGACGGAGCACTCGTGAATTAGACACTGCAGATTTAGTCAGCATGTCTGACGTGCATCAGCCTTAAGGTCAAATTAAGTGCCCTTACTAGTGATGTCTGCAGGCTGATTAGTCTTTTTTTTTTTGTGGTTCAGCACTCCTCAGGCAGGCATTGACTTTGCGACTTGTGTTTTTACTTTCCTGCAGAACAAACTTAAGTTTACTCTGACTTTTACATTAGGAAAAGGCGAGGAATGGATATTTGTTATTTGGTGAATGTGCAGCTTTTTGTGCAGTCTTTTATTTACCTGTTGAGCGGTCATTAAAAAATTCACTTTTTACAGTGTACAGCAGTGCAGCCTCTTTGAGGCACATGTAACGTTTAGCAGCCACGTATATCCAAAAAGATGTATTACTACATTGAGAAAATGGAAATGCGCCTCTGAATGCAGCTTTGCTTGTCATGACTGTGGGTTAAAATGTTTCCTTTCTTGGCTTTTTTCTTTTTTTAAATTCCCTTAAAACAGGATTTAACTTATGACAGAAATCCCTCATGTTCCACTGCAGCTTGGCATTTGTGTGGTTTGTTTGTTTTCTTTCCTCATCCTATGATTTTAAACTGTTCATCATACCAGGTTGGATTTCCAACTTTTGTTTGCTGTTTCTGTGAGGGGAATTTGCAACAGATGATGTACAGTATATCATTGCAGATTGGATCTGCCTAAATTGTTTCTCCCCAATTTAGTATTGTATTTCATTTGTTTTAAGAAGTAAAAGTATTTTATTATGCTGCATCTGAGTGTTTTGTGTTTCTGAAAGGTTTAATATGCCTTAAATGATTTGGAATCACAATAAAAGCAACAACAATGCAAATCTTCATTTCTTATTACTTTATTTTCAATAAATATCACTTTGTTTTTAATAAATATTACTTGATTATCAGATACTGATAAGTGACTAACTATCCAGTAACTAACAAGTTTACTTCCTCATCCATGTAAAACTATTACAAAAAGGAATTCTTCAATAATTTAAGGTTGTGTAAAATAAATTACATTCATTACATTCTTACTAATAGGCATTAAAATCAAAATGTAGCTTTGCTGAGCCTTTGCTCCAGAAGCTTCAGCAGACATCTGACAAACACATAGCCATCAATGTCCTGCTCAAAGCTGGGTAGGCTGCAGTCCCCTCGGGTTGTCTGGTTGCGCATCAGCGGCTCCACATCCTGAATGAACTGGCTCATCGCCTGCAGCTCATGGGACAGTTCCGGGGTCAGCGTGGACATATTGAGTATGTAGCAGCGGAAGGTGGAGAGCTGGTGCGCGCTGAGGGGCTGCTGCTCCGGCCCCACCAGCTCCGTGATGTTCAGGGAGTGGCAGGAGACCTTGGGAAGCAGTCCGGGCGCATCCTACAGGAGACGGAGAGTCGGTCAGTAGGTGTCCACATGAGATTAGATGGAGAGTTTCTAAGTAAGTAGGATACATTACTTAAGTACTGGACTTAAAATGCTAATTTTGAGATACTTGTGCTTTAGTTTAGTGTTTTAATGTTATCTTTATACTTCCACTTCTCTAAGCTACAATTCCGAAGGAACAACTTATTTGGTCACTTTGCGCATTCAGATTTTACAATATATCATCGGTTTATTTAATATTTCTTATTATTATAAGTTCAATTATTATGTATTTTTACACATTAATCTACCCAGCTGTGTGAAGCAGATATAATTGGCTCCACTTTAACCAAATATATCATTACAGTACCGCGTAAATGTTAATAATAATGAGGACTTTTACATCTCTACTTTTAACCTACTTCAGTAACATTGCAAATGAATACAAGACTTTTAAAGTAGCTTAAATGATCTGAACACACTGATAATTAGGCTACACCAATGAAGACACTTAAAAATGTGAGCACCGACTGTAACCATTTCACCATAAATAGCCCTGAAACTAATCTCAGTGCTACCATAGATTTATTTATTTTAAACTCAATATGCTTCTGATTGTACCAACACTGAATTATCCTACTCAGCTGCAATTCCTCTCCCTAAAAGTACTTCATGGAAAATCAAAGCAATACAATATTATTAAGCACTTAATACATGCAGAGAGTCCGCGCTCTCCACCCCTGCATGTTTTAATAACATAATTATTCTAATTCTAATTATTAATTAATAACTTAATTAATTAAGCACAAAATAAAAGAAGCTTACAAGGTGGTGCAGAGAGGTGCCTATCTTCTCCCGAATCAACTGGATGGTTTCGTTCAAGGCCGCGGCTGGTCTTCCAGTAGGTTTGCAGGCTGTTTGTGCAATGAGCACGGACATGAAGATGAACACTACAACAGAGACATAAAAGAGCACAGTGGAGATTAATTATACACACACACACACATACACACATGCACGCACACACAGACACATGCAGTCACCACTAATGAGTTTCAGTGTTGTGCAACTTTGACCGCAGAAATTAAAGTTGTAGGACTGCCTGGTTTAAAAGTAAACAGCGGGACTCTGAACCGCACTTCAAGATGCTCACCTGCACGGTAATCCATGACTCCAGGAGATTCTGGTCCACAGCAGGCTCTCTGGTTTGACGATTTCTCTGATCCATCTTTGGAGGATCACTTTTATTAGGGCTCCTTAGATTAAGATCAACATCTTAATATTTTCCCTTGCGTTCACTGCTGCTAGTCATATGCTACAGTTTTACATTCTGGGGCTTCCCTGTTTGGAGTCTCTGGCTTAGAAAAACCTACACATCCCGTAACATGACTACAGTCAACCAAAGTCTGATTAGATATTTAAATATTAAAAAGGTGTTAAAATCCTCAACACTGTTAAAGAGGCATGCTTTACCCCTTCTTTGATGATTTGATCTTGTGTGATGATTACTCATATAAACAAAAAAAAATTTGATGTATTAGACATAAATTATCACTATCTTTGTGAGAATAGATTTCAGTGTTAAACCACCTTACTGAGAACATGTCAGTATTGTGAGGCCTGTCCTCTTTACTTCAAAGGACTGCTTGAAGGTTAAGACTTGGTTAAGGTTACTGTTTGAATTAGGTTTAGGTTTAGGTCTTGGAAATGGTTTGTGGTTGTGATGGTTAAGATGGTTAAGGTCCTCAGGTGATGAAAGATGAACAACAAGTGGTTTGATATTTTTTATTATTGGCAATTTACATTTTTGAAAAGTCAGGTTTTAAAAAAGTACTGGTACTTTCAATATAAATTAAATAAATACTGACAAACATAAATAAATATGGAAAACTTTAAATATCAGATCAATAAATACACAAATAAATAGCCTACATAGATTAGTTAGTTAAGTCACAGGTGGAGTTTGCGAAACTCTCCATCCACTTTATGGTAAAGTGAATGATACTTAGGCCGATTTCTTTCCTAGCGTAATTGTGTGTTGGATTTAAGCGGCAATTGTGTGTTTGATTTAAGTGGCACTGGTGTGGGATCTTGTTTCGCACTTGATTTCTGCTGGCCTGTCTAACTGCGTTTTTGAACTGGATATGAAATGCTGTTATGTTGCCGATGATGATGTCCTTGTGCTCCAGACTGAGAAGCCTGATGATTTTCGGCAAGTCACACTGTAAGTAGTGATTGATTGCCCAAGTGGTCTGGATTTCCTCGGTGCCGTTCCCAGCAGGCAAAGTTATGCATCTGAGAGGGTGTATTTGCTGAAGTAATGTATCATTCATCATCTAGAGAAAAAGAGTCATTATGACAAAGTCAGTGATGGAGCACAAAGCTCACAGGCTGTCTTTAAATAATTTGTTTAAACGGTCCCTCTACAGTGAGGAATCAGCTCTGTTGTACATGTATGTTGTGTTACATGAATTGGCTTTTACCACTGAACACACCGTGTTCTTCAGTCAAAAATTAAAAAAATGTATAAACTTAAAGTATGATGTGTTTACTTACGTAAAACCGTTGTGCAATCTCTAGATTACAGAAAGGTATGTTTAAATCCTTCAGGTTCTCACGAAGTTTCTCTATGTCAATTTCTTGGGAGGTCATGAAGGTGATGTGTAGCATCACGATGCAAGAAAGCAGGAGCTCTGCAGGAAGTCATACACAAAAAGATGTGATGTCATCTGGATAGTAAGCAACCAAAAGTTAGCTCAAGTCTAAATAAAATCAACATCACCAAACCATCATCTTCAAAATTTGACATTTTACTGAGAGAGAATAATAGACTGGAGATGTTAAAACTCCAGCTCATGTTTTGGCTTGTGGCCTTCATGGTCATCCAAATGAAATTAAATGTTCTTTATACTACAACTGCTCCTTGAGTTTTGAGCTACTCAGACTTCTCCCTTCTCCATGACCTTTGGGAGTAGGTGAAGTTGTGTGAGGAGAATAATAGACTGTAAGGGAATATTGCTTTAAATCTCATTTCAGATTTTAGGCAGCTTGCCTTCAGACTGTTCAGTCCCTCAGTAATCAGACAGCAACCATTAGGAAATCAACTGTTAATAAAGTCATAAATGTTTGAGTTATTTCTTAAAACTTTATTTGCAATCCTCCTGAAATCACAACATAATTATCAAGGTAACTCTAAAGCACTGTTACACATACACACTGACAGTGACACATGTTTCATTCTCCTACTCTAAATTATTTAATTTAAAGACAGCTTACCTTTACCATGAGCCATTGTGTGACTGTCGTCTTTTGTTGTTGGGTTAATGCTCCTAAACTGGCACATAGTCGCTTATATATCGAAACATGGGATTTTTTTTTTGCATGCCACCCTCTAGTAGATGACGCCTTTGTGCCTTTATCCTACAGAAAATCTTATAGTAAATGTTTCTATTTTGCAATTGTAGGTCATTGTTGACCACAGAGGTTTAATGTGGGTTGGGTAAAGTAAACTGCCACAGCGAAGGTATCTGATGTTTATCAGTAGACAATGGCAAATTCTGCTACTTGAAAAGGGTTCACTGTCATTTGCCACAGATCTTTAAATCCAGACATCCTGAAAGACGACATATATATGTTTATATACATATATATGTATGTATTAATTATTTTTATCTAATCAACATCCTTGGTACATGAAGTGCCAGCTCTACTAGGTAAACTATCAGGTTGCGCCTCAAAATACTTAATTTGATCATACATTTCCTAGTATTTCTATCTCTGAGATACCTGGATAACACACCACAGGATGTTTACTTCTCATACGTAAAAGGAAATTCACCTTTAAGTATCATCATTAGTAATATTGGCAATGTTACGCATCAGCATGTGTTGATGGATGAATCCTACTGACTTTGGTGATCCTTTAGTAAGATGGTAAACGTGGTTAACATTATAATAATATAGGTAAGGGACAAGGTGTCCTATATCAGAAGTTAATGGACACGGTACAGCCAATCAGATTAGAGTATTTACCCAAACCATGCTAATAATATAATTTTATAAATGCTAAAAATGTTTACATGGGTGAATAAATTGTGACACTACAATGGAGGAAGAGAGGTCAGTATGAAAAGTATGAAATTATGTATGTAGGGAGCCGTCACGAGCCACAGCAGGGGGATTGATTAGAAGAGCTGGCAGGCCTTGTGTGTTATTACATTAGAGGGTGCCAGTGAATGGGTGCAGTCGGATAAATAGAAGAAACAGTTGAGCTTTAACAAGTTTCAACAGTTTCACCTACACAAACACCGAAGTCCTGACTCGATGCAGCGTTCCTGAAGAGAGCCTCAGCTGTTGCCAGGCAACCGACAACCATTTGTAAACAATAAACACCAGGGGCCTTGTCTCTGGAAGACTAACTGACCACACATTACCTGCAGTAGCTGCTGTTTCTCTCGTACGTTACACACATTATACAGTGAGGCATGAGCTCAAATACACTTTCTGCCGTGTTAGAGAAGCAGATTCACTGCCTGTGTCTGAATGACTTCCCTTGTGGATACGGCAGCTGGGTGAGTTTTTGTTTTAGCTGTATGTTGGTCGCAGTGTTTTCTATATTATCTTATGTCTATTTAGTTGTTTAAAATGATCTCATCACAGCATATAGTAGCTTACTTTTTGTATAAGATACTAAGCAACCCAGTGATTATGTTCTCAGAGAAAGACAGGATACGGTACAGGGGGAGCAGAGACGGAGGAGACAGACGCCCTCCTGGATCTGCTGAGCTGCCCTCACTCTCCATGGGTGTATGATGAATCGTGGAGCCCTCAAGCTCCGGCCCTGAGACAGCTGGCCGTGCTGGCACCTGAACGGCTGCACGCTGGCTTCATATATAATTACTTTACTACACTTCGCATTGTGGACAAAGGCGTGAGTTATTTTATTTCCCCTACACCAAATGTTTTACATTTGATTCAAGCCAGTCACCAGTTCTCACTTGACCAGGCCTCAAGCCTTTTTACAAAATATGATAAAACTGGTAGAGCATAAACATTACCTGTTTTGTACACACTTGAAATGAAAAAGCAAAGTATATTTTCACATCAATATATATTATATACAATACCTGACATTGTTATAAGTCAGCCTATTCCATGATTTGATGCAGTGATCCCCAAAGTCTTATGGAAAGCAAAGTTTAAAAGTTGCAGTTCAAAATGGTTCAATAGTAGTGGAACTGAGCAGCAGCAAATCTACTGACTACCTTTGCATTTCAATTTGAAGGTTCACGACGGTCATCACCAAACTGACAACACTCACAGTTTGACCATATCATACTGGCTGGAATAACCACAGACATACTGTAGGAATGGTGGAGACACTATAGAACAAAAACAAAGCACCAAAATACCAGAAATGTTACAGAAAGTGGTGTCTGTAAAGCTGTTGCCCTGGTGCATGCTGGGAGGCTTTCTGCCACACTTATCCTCCCAGGATGCTAAAGTAACAGTATTTGTTATAATCCCTAAAAAACTAATGTTCCTAAACCCAAAAATCTGCTATATAAGCCCCCGAAAACTACATAATTTGAAAAGTCTTACGTAATGTTTAGAGGGATGTTAACCAAACTACTTTTTAATACTTTTATTTCTAGGACAAAAATCTACAAAATATATTTCCTCTTATATCTTCTTTATCAACTTAAATAATTATTACTAAAGTAGGGTATAAACTGTGCTCTCTGATGCAGTATCACAATTTGTTTTTCACTTGTTTGAATCTTCACATATTGGTGTCACAGGGTATCTTTACATTCCCACTATGTTGTGTTCAGGTATCAGTCATTGACAACGGCCTGTTAAAGTTCTCAAAGCTGGAGGAATTGGTGCTGAGTGCCAACAAAATCTCAGATATCCCTGCAGTAAACCTTCCCAACACCTTGAAGGTGAGTCACGGTCCTTCACCAGCTTCCTTTGCAGTTCATCAGATTACATGACCAGTTTCCTCTGGCTAAGGTTTGCCATGAAACTGGGGATTCACAGTTGAATCATAAAGAGTAGTAATCAAAATAAATCATAAAACACATCACTGGCTGAAGTATGTCCAGTTGGTAACAGTTATAGCTAATAGATTAAAGCGTATTGTGACGTACTGATGATTAACTGTTTGTTTGTAAATGTGATTCTTTCAAAGATATTGGAGCTACGTGCCAACCAGTTGTCTGCTCTTAACAGTCTAACCAGCTGTCCGCCTCCTCGCCTACGCTACCTCGGCCTCGGCTCAAACAACCTGCGTACCCATGAAGACGTCTCTCATCTCACAGGAAGACACTGGTTTGTTCACACACAAACACACCCAAACACGCACATGTACACACAGGAAGTCGACTGGTTTATAAAGAGGTAAACCAAAACCAGGTCAAAAACTCAAGTAGTAGTGTGTATTTTTTCATTGTTTGTAAGGTAAGACAAAGTATTCACACACTGATGACTGCAGTTGAGGCTGTGAGGTAGAAAATCTTTTGATCCCACCTAAAAGAACTACATATTTTAACTATGGTTTCAATGTGAGGAACAAAAAAAACTTTTCCATTTTGTCAGCTGATATCACAGTTTAGTAAAGGTTTCTGTCAAAGCTGGAAGGCACCATTAGACCTAGAAAATAAGTTGTTTCAGGAAGTAAATTCATTGAACCACTCTCAAGATCAGCTCCTGAAATCTGATGTGGTTGTTGTATTAGTAAGCCACAGGGGAAATTACTTTCTTAAGCTTTCCTTCTTTATCATCAGTTAAACAGAATTGTAAATATCTTTAAATACTTAAGTATCTTAAAATACTTACTCATCACGAGGAGTTTTACACCGCTTTAAGATCTTCATGTTGCTCATGGTGGGAACTGTTGGGTCTCTGTAAATAATTTTATAAGGAGTACAGTCTAGACCTGCTCTATTTGAAAAGTTCCTGAGAAAACTGTTTGTATGATTTGGCACTATACAAATAAAAATAAATTGAATTGAATTGAAATTGAATTAAATGAATATTTAAAACAAATCACATAAAACATTTAACCACTTCAATGAATAAAACATGGAAAATAATCCAAATTAATTTAAATATTTGACCAAATCCGGGTTTGGAATGGCCATTTGGACGCATGAACTCAGTATGTCTGTGCTTCTGTTAACAGGCGTCTGGCTTGAAAGCAGACGGTTTGTGTGTGTGTCATTAATTTAGCATTTAGGGTGTATGGGGTCTAAAAAAACATGCAAGTTGGATTATGGAAAGTGTAATATCCAGCACTTTTGGAGCTTGTGCCATAATAAGGGAAGTCAAGCTATCTCAGTATTTAAATTTAATAATAAATTGATGGCCCTTGAAATAATTAATGTCCATCTGCATATAATAGAAAATTATTTAAAAGCGGCTTTATCTGTTTCATTTTTGCTATGCAATCGGTGTTACAAGTTTTATTTGTGAATAAAAAGGAAAAATGACTGTCACTGATCTCAGGCCGCTGCTGGTGTGTCTGGACCTGAGTGACTGTGAGTTTCAGGACCAGCAGGCCCTGCTGAACGCCTTGAGCACGCTCCCCTGTCTCAGGACGCTGGTGCTGGAGGGTAACCCCTTCATTCTTGCGTGCTGCTACCCGGGCTTCACCGTGGACAGTCTGCCACAGCTCTCTTGCCTGGACGCCTCATGGATCTCCCCTGAGGAAAGACATTGTTTCAGGGGCATGGCCAAGATGAGTGGTGAGACTGTGGATAGTGCTGTCAGTTAGTATGTCTGAATCCTCTGAACATGGGCTCTTGTTTCTCTTTAATTTGAAGTATGCAGCTCTGTTGTTTAATTTAGACAGCCTGGTAGTAGTTTATAATATTAAAATATTAAAAATCTTCTGTACAGATCTAATAGTGGACCGGGCATCCGCCACAGTGAGCATTGGAAGGATGAGAGGAATCCCAGACCCGTTATTGAGTGCTGATGAAAACACTCCGGACTTCCCTGTTGTCACCTACAGCTATTTTATCACATACGAGTTCCTTAGTCGTCAAACACCCGTAAACCTGGTGATGTAACACTGCCACACTTTCAGTCTGTTTACATCTCTAAATGTAACACTGTACAGAACATCACGTGGGAAAACTGCCTTCAAAGCAAATGTGTTTTTGGTATAATTTTGGATTTCAAATGGGATTTCTGTACATTGTATCATATGACAGTTTTTAGTTGACAATGATAATTCATACATGTTTGATAATATTTATTTTACATGTAAGAATCTAAAAAATAATAAAAAAATTTTTCACCCACATGCCCAAAATGTACATTTTAAGTCATTTGTTGCTGTAACTGTTGCTCTATACTATACAGTATGTGGTTTCAGCAGTCTGAGTTAGCGAGAACAAGTGTGTATTTTCTAAAGTTAGTCCTTTTAGTATAAAATTACCTTTTTGTCATACATTCCTACCACCACACCACAGCAAGGAAACAAAAAGGGGCAATTTTTGGAAAATAGTCAAACTGTAATTTGTCACATGGGGAATTTCACATTGACAACGTTTTTATATGTGCTTGATTTTGTAAGGTTATCTTAAAACAATCAATCTCTGTGGAATCTCTCTTTTTTTTGGTGGTGATGTTCACAGAAATTGGAAAGTGAGTCTAAATTTGATGCCGCAGCCATAACACACGTGACAGATGGCGGCTCCAGTGATGCTGACTTACAATCAAACAAGAAAGAAACCTCCAAACTTCACATACGTGACTTGATGTGTACTGAGGACACCTGCCGTGATACTGCACATGGTAATAACACTAAAAGCATTTAACCTGCGCAGGTTTTAGGCCTACAGGAAGAGGGACATCCGTAGAGCTGAAGCAGTTTTTCATACAGAAAGATAAGAAAGATAAACCGCTGACATTCAGCGCAGTGATCTGAAGGAGTTTGGAAAATATGTCAGCTTCATGTTTGGATTTTTTAAACTTAGTAATGTATCCTGTATAACTGGGATTTATTTTTCTTATCAGTTCAAGAGAAACATACAGTCAGAACAGTCAGTAGAGTTGTAAACACCCTGAAACTGGATGGCTGATGATTTATCAACCATTATCAGGTTCCTTGTATATGTTCTTTTTCTCAACTATGTGTCTCTGACTTACCAAAAACTGGCTTGCATCTTTGTTTTGGAACATGTAGTACCTGCTGTGCGTCCAACTTTGACTTGTGAAATTTCCTTTTCTACAGTGTCAAGACATTGCACATCAAAGCTGACATGGTCTGGGTCCATGGACGTCAGTGACACACAAACATACATTGTTAGAGATCTGAGAGGCTTAAAGAGATTTCTCAATCAAGGACTTTACCTTAGTATAGAGGAGGAAAAGGTACAGACAATGAGATTTGAGGGGGGCAAACATTTACATGGAAAATGTATAATGACTCTAATTCTGTCTTTTGACATTTTAGGTCTTATCGTGGCCTGCAGTTTCTGAAGACATCACAGTGGCCAAACCCAGCCAGACTGGAAAAGAAAAGAAAGGCGCTAAAGGGAAGGAGGTGACTTTGAACATTGAATTCCTAATAAATCTGTTGACACCCCTCGCATTAGTCAGCTGGTGGCCCACCCATGAGTTGGCTGGATCTGTTGAGTTAACAATCTAGGGAATTCTGTATTGTTCATTCCCAGCTCACAGGAAAGCCAACTGATATGCTAAAACTAACCTACCATGTTATTTTAGCTCCTGCTTATCATTCAAACCACGTTAGCTGTTTCTAATCTCATTATACCGTGGCTACATGTCAGAGTGTAGTTCATTGTAATTCATAATGGGTGTTTCTTTTATATACTTTCTCTCAGTATTATCCACATCATCAATCCAAAAGCAATAGCATAATTAATTATTTTTAGTTACATTATAGTTTATTATTTTACAAAGTCTTAGGCTGACCAATATCCAGGGTCTTCTATTTTCTCTCATCTTACATTTATATTCTATTTGAGCCTTCCTTTGCAATATTATATTAACAGTAACATAAATTGACAAAAACAGGACAATTCTGTCAGTGTATTGTGGTTTTATTAATGTGTGGATTGGTGGTGCATTTTATTTAAAACAAATCAAGTTACTTTAAGATGTTAAAGGTCCAGTAAGTTACATTTAGGAGGATCTATTGACAGAAATTGAATATAATATTATATTTATAATCACCTGAATTTAAGAAGCATTATGTTTTTGTTACCTCAGAATGAGCAGTTTATATTGCTGCACTTTGCATTCAGTGGAGTCTGTTGAACTGCCACATTTCTACAGTAACACAGCGTTTTGCTGCCCTTCAGGGTTGGAAAGGGAGGGTGCGATCTTTTCTCTTTTTTTAAAATTTAATAATATATTATTCTGAAATGTTGTGGGAACATTTCTAGCGGACACTTTAACAAGAATATTAATAACCCTAAGGAGGGCCATGCTTTCTGTACAAAGTAAAACATTAGGTTCAGCCCCAATCACCACCACAATTATTTACTTTACTTATTTATAGGTAAATGTGGTCAATAACATGCACTAACATTTATTGCTCATAAATGATAGCGCTCATTTATTTGTGATGTGCCAACTAGCCCTTTGATTTTAGTGTCAATGGTTATAAAGCCAGCGAGGATTGTTATAAACAGTCATCAGGTGAATCCACCAAAGTTTGCACATTATCTCTGAGTAGGTGTAAAATGTCTGTTTTGGCATCATTTCACTGCTTTCTTATTGTCCTCAGTCTCCAATCAAGTCTGGCTCCACCAAAGACAAGTCTAAAGACAAAAAGAAGAAATCTTTACCAGAGCTGGTCCAGGACACCCCCATCAGAAGAATCCTTGGTTCTGTCCACGTCCCCTTGCAAAGCCTCGTCAAAAGAGGTCAAAAGGTCAATGTCCTATGTGACTTCGGTGTTTTGCACACAGAGTCGGAGGTGGAAGCTATGCAGACCCTTGAAAAGGCAAGTTTACATGCTAAGCAAGTGTTTACACAGCCAGCGCTTTGCTGAGAGAGCACGACCGGAACACTGAAACAAGGATGTATATTGTCCAAAAGAGTGATGTTGACTATAAGATAAATAAAAACTAGCAACACGTGGGACTACCAAAATAATAATTAGTAGTTGTCCAAATGATATGGAGACCGACTTCATGTGGGATATTTTTTTTCACTCAACTTTAGGGGCCAGGAAAGAAAATCAAAGAGGATAAGAAGAAGGAGGAAAAGGAATCAAAGCATAGAAGAGGCAGTGATACTAAACAGAGGAATACAGAATCTTCAAAAGGTACATTCATTGTCTGTATAACAGCATCAGATAACTCAGAGAGATTGTTCATTTCAAAATGGTTTTGCTGTACTGTAAAATGCCAGTGACAGTGAATATTATATATTATAGAAGATGAGTAAGTGAGGGGCACACTGTAAAATATTAAGAATTACTCAGCATCCGCTTCTTCATAAATCCTGTTGGATGTTGTCATCTGTAGGCAAAGGAAAGGGAAGGAAGGAATGCGAGATGGATGTCCCTACAGACAACTTTGTGTCTGTGCAACTGGAACCAGTGACTGTGGAGTTGAGCGTGGAGCTGGAGAAATGGCAGTCTGCGTCTGAAGCTCATCAATTACTGCTTCTACACCAAAACTCCCAAAGCAAGCAGCCTGTTTTGTCTTAAACATTAAACCAGCTTACTATTATAAATGTGGCTTATTTTCAGTTTGACCTGAAGTTATTGAACTTGGCCAGGTTAGTTTTCAGGCTTCAACAATGTGTCGATCTACCCACCGGTCAAAAAACTGCTTGTTAAACAAACCGTAGACTTTAATGGCATATTTAATTTATTTAAATTTGATGTAGGCTGCAGTTATTGCCCTTCTCAAAGGTAGAACTTAGACTGTTATCAAGCTATAGTAGTTGCATAATATTGGGCAGCTTGAGGGACATTTTTTTCCACCACATGGAAGATATTATATCACCTGTACAAACTGAGTAGCATAGTAATTATAAGGTGAGCACTACAACAAGCTAAACAAACATGTAGGTCCGCTTGTGAACATGCTGTCAAACTTTCCTTTGTGGCTTCATATACGAGTGTTAATTACTTCCTACTTTAAGCTTGCTCTGTGGCTGTGGACATCACAGATTCCTGTTTACCCCTAGTCTTAGTGAATTAAAGCTACATGATAAAAGCACAGTGCAAAGAAACGGCGAATCAACAGCGATGTTTGATTTTTAACTCATACATAAATTTCATTTATTTTATACAGATATTCAAAACATTTGCCGAAGTATTTCATTGTTTCATACAGAAATCATCTTGTAATGCAAAGAAACTTTTTTGGAAAGGCCCTGTCGCTGGAACTGAGAGTTAACAGCAAGTGTTGAGTACTTGAAGTTTCACTGTTTACTTCTTACCAATCATCCTGCAGTTCGCTTCATGAAGACCATAAAAAAAGTTCCAATTAAAGCCAAACAGCACTGGGTTTAACTGCTTCCCTCCAGGCAGGAGCAAGCAAATCTCTCCCAGTGTTTCCCCCTCACAAAATGACACACATACTATCAAACCTTTAAAGAGTACATAGTATTTCCAGGCATAAAAAAATAAACTATAGCTCACCAATCTTTTGTGAAAATTGACTGTTTTTCAATCAAGTAATTTACACTTTCAAATAAACACCTTTTATGATACTATATTATCTTTGTAATCCCCGAACAAGCTGTGCAAACAATGTTAGGATATTGATAAATTAAATGATCTGAAGAAGAGCATCGCTTCTCCCACAACAATACATCCACCGACAGTATCTCCTCACTCACACAAACCCAGGATATCAAACAGTTTCCGCTCAAGTCATTTACAAATACAAATATTTAACTGCTGTTTATTATTTTTCTGGATGTCTGAACTTTTGGAAAGAGATTCTGAGGAGACCATTCTCCTATAAGAGCGCTTAAGGACTGGCGTGGACAATAAAGACGCTTGGCAAAAACAAGCACAACGAAACGCACACATAGAAACCAAAACCCCAAAAGCACCGCATAATCTAACATGATGTGCAAATATAGTGATTGTGCGAACGAGGGTAAAAAAAAGGCTTCAGAAGGTCTGGTCGTCGTTACAGGAGTCGGTCCAGTGGCCAAAGACCTCACAGATGTCGCAGTAGGGTCGTTCTTCACCCTTACTGCCGTGGTAGGTGGTGTGTGGAGGGGAGTCGGGCATCTGCATTTGTGTGGGACAGTCCTCGGTGTCGTGGAGGTCGAAGCAGTCACAGATGTCACAGAACAGCCTTGGGGGAGCCTTCTTCTTCACAGGTTCTTTGTCATGGCTGCAGAGAGAAGAAAGCGGCTCCATGTGTAAATGACTGTCCGGTGGTGAGAAAAACTGCCACACAGCTGGCATTATTTTAGAGGAAGTCTGAGAAGGTCTGCTATAATGGGACTCACCTATCGTAGTTATCCAGCTCACTTGGATTATTCCCATTGAGGGCAGCAGCAGCCATTTTCTCCAATTTGTCCTTAAGTTCCCCATTCTTCCTCTGGAGGTCAACAATGACTGAATTCAGGAACTCAATCTGTGAAGGAGACACACAGCATTAGCTTCAGTGCTGCTGCTGGTTAATGGTTATTATCCAGTAACACATTTTCTTACATAATATTTTTTTTTTTAAAATGATATAGGGTCTCCCTGTGAGGCTCATTGATTATATAAAGTGCCAAGACTTTGCCTTAATCCTATTGGACTATAGGTAGTATATTAGTAACCTAGCCTTATCCCCCCAAATAATTAACTCAATCTTGATAATGTCGATGAATGACCACTGTGAGTTGCTAGCCAAAGAAAAATCGAAGCTTGGAAAGTCAGTAAAATACCCACTTATGACGTGTGTCTTACTTAGTAAAAGTAATCCTGAACAGATCTGATATCTGATAAGCATCTAAGATTAACTGCAATTTTACCGAGGAATTTTAACAGAGAGCTTAATGAGTGCGAAAGGTATTGAGAAATCAAGCTTGATTTGTCTTTGGAAGACAGTTTGACACCAACTATAATGTGACGAAACATGAGAGCCACAGTGACAGTGACAGAAAAACATGCACAAGTGAAGCTGATGAAAAACATTAACAAACCGCTGCCTGATGGTGGTGTAGCATTGCCAACATCAGAGACAGGGCAGAGAAGAGGAATTGGGATTTAAAGGAGAGGAGAAGGAAAAAAATAAATAAAAAATTTAAATTCAAAATACGACCTACTTACTGCCAGGCAACACATTCAAATCATCACTGACACAGATAATACAGTATAACGTTTCAGAATAAACAGAGGCTGGAGGTTCTGAGAATGATGACACGGCATCATCCCACCACTGTGGGTGATATGCTCCAAAAAAACCTGAGATATCAAGTCATGTCTATTACCCCTGTAAGAGCGGAGATGATGTCACAAGCTAGATATGCTTGTAAACCCATTTCGCCTCTGTAAAACATTATACTGTAACAGCTACGTGAGTCAACAGTTAAACTGTAAAATTCTGAATCTACTGCGACATCAGAAGTATTTGTTAGTAAATGTCTGAGTAAGCAGCACAGTCATTTCACAAACAGCATTCAGTAAGAATGTTTCCCTACAACTGCCCCAATATGATGAAAATGTAAATTAGACCGAGTTATTGTCAAACCAGAAGACTCTATGGGCCAGGGTAGGGAAGCATCTTTACACCGAAGGTATGAGAGGCAAGAACTCTCAACCTATCCAGATTAGGATTATTTAGGATGAGAGGAAAGATAAAACATACCTGACTCTCTGCCGTCTGCTTATCCTCCCTTAGTTGATCCAAAACTGCATCACCTGAAAACAACATCAGGTACAACATTAAGTAAAATCCAGTAGTAGACTAGAGCTGAACCCAACTCCGAATTCTGTCAGTCAGATCAGATTTGGCTGTTCAACACAAAGATTGGAGTATTTGTTCTTTTTTTCCCCAGTTCAGTGGCACACTAAACGCCCATATCATGGAAATGCTGCTACATGAGCCTCGTTTAATCTAACCTTAAAGAAGCACTCTCACCCGTTGGCAAACATTAGTCGTTATTGAAAGTGGGTTATATATGTAGTCGAATGTAACATAAATTTTGAATTTGGTTGCCTATTTGACCGAGAAAAGAGTTTTTGTAGTCTCACTCCCTCTACAAAAGATATGAGACTTCCTGCTTCCAGTGATGCAAAATGACGATTTTTACATCATTGGAAGCAGGAAGTGCAACACTGAAATCCCATTTCTCCCGTCTCAGGGGAAAATGACGGGAATGGTGCACGACCATTCAAAAATATGACGATACGAAGCTTAATGCAAATGGGTGAAGTGTCCCTTTAACGCATTTCTTCATCATCTGTGACTATAATATCAGATTTCCACAGTTAAATAAAGTAAGCGTGCGTCCTGCTTGTAGTTCAGTTATAAAGTCTCAGCGCACAATGCGGCGCTGTCAGCTGCTATTCATATTGGACAGCAGTAGAGGAGGTCGTCCCGCTGTTTGAAAGTGGTTTAACTGGGGTGTAGACCCCGTTTCCATCACAGTGAGTTTTATGGTCATTTTGACACTCTGTAAAGTTTACAGTCTGATGTGGTGTCACTCTGTGTACAATGACGCAGCTAAAAAACGAAAGTGCAGATATTTGACTCACAACTGACCGACTTTGCACGTCGCTTTGGTGTCTCTCTCGACTGATGGCGTGAATCGACTTTTTGTGGGCAGCACCAGAGTACACAACGTAATCTTTCCTTCTTTTTGAGGTCACCTCACTGAGAACTGATCTTAGTGATACCAGAAATATGAACTCTGGTCTGGAGTTAAGCCCACTGTTACCTGAGAACGTGTTAATGGTGTCAGGCCCTGCAGTCAGATCCTTCTCCAGTCTCTGAATACGCTCCTGTAGATAAGCCTTGTCCTGCTCCAAGGCCTGAATTGTACCCTGCAGTGTCTTAACTGAGGCACTTTCCCCACGTAGTACAGCCAGCTGTGAAGAAAACAACCCATGCTATTCAATACTGGAATGAAAATACCAAATATTACTCTTTGCTCTATAAAAATAATGTTATGACAATGAGTAAAATCACTCAATGACATGTTCATTAACACTAATGCAAGCACAAATACAATTCAAGCTGTTTTTCAATTTACAAGTTGAGTGCGAGTACACAGTCCTTTGAAGAAATGTGTCACTAGGTTTTCACAGGGCTTACTTGCTCACAGACGCATTTTCCGGTTAGGAAGGTTGTAGGATCCTTTGCATGCACATTCAAAATGAAAGTGACTCATATCTCGACTTGCATAAATTAATTTTGTGCAAGCTCAACAGTTCTGTCAATAAGACAATGAGGGCGTATCATCATGCAATAGCTCCTCACCTCGTTCCTCATGGTTTCCACCTGCTGGTCCTTTTCTGAAATTAAGGCACTGTTTTTATGGACGGACTGTTGGAGGGTCGCCTTCTCCTTGTCAAACTGCTCCTTCAAGGTGCTCTCACTGTCAAATACACAACACCAAATAAATCTCTGAGGTACAGTACACAATCACTCCAGACAAAGAATAAATGGCCCCAATTTACCACATCAGTTCTCAGCAGATGTCCAACTTTGGAATTCAAACTATTTACCGGAGGTTTGGGGCCACTAC